GATACAAAGATTTCAAAACTCTGAAACTTGCTTGCGATTAAAGAAACAACCAGAAGGAGTTTCTTGATGTGGAAGTAAAGCCAACCTCACAGGACTTGATGCTCCTTCTTCCACAGGCAAAACTCCAGTATTGAAATTCATATCCGTCTTCACAAATCCAGGACAAACCGAGTTTACGCGAAACTCGGGATGTTTCTTCGCCAGAATCCTCGTGTAACCATTCAAACAAGCCTTCGAAACCACGTAAGCGGACATAAACTTAGCCCATTTTTTAGTCGTACCTTCTTTGAAATCTTTAAGAAGTTGGTTGATCACTTCTTCGATTCTTTCCTCTGTGAGCTTCTCTGCGTCGCTCAGGATTCCTTTACCCCATTCGTTTAGTAAATTCTGGCAAAACATTTAAACAATTTGTATTGTAAAAGCTAGAATTTCTCTGCCAAACATCTCAAGCATTGTCGTTAATCGATGTCTTATTACCTCTAGTTGACCCATGGAGGATGATACATTGACGATTCTCGGAGAATCAGATAATTGCAAAAGGGGAATAAATGCCTCACACATCCTCTTTGGTCCATAATAGTTAATCTTGATGCATTCTTCAGCTAGCTCATAAGTCTCTGTGATGATTTCGTCCCACTTGAAACCTTCCTGCCATGTCGAACTAACAAGAAACCGTCAGCGACAAAGATTTATCAGTCGATTTTAAACTAAGCACAAAGATACTTACTTTCCCTGGCCCAGCTCTTAAAGCATCAGCATCAGTGATTATACCACTAACCCCTGCATTATTGATCTGCAAAGCAATCACAAGACATTAAGTAATTCACTCGAAAAATGGTACAATTCAGGAACTAGACCACCCTAACCGGCTCTATTAAAACGTTACTAAAACTGTTAATCACTAAAGGCACTAGCATTTTAGTCAGAAAGTATACAATAAGGAGCAAGTTCTTCTCAAACAAGGATCGAAGAATCTTACCAAGATATCGAGTTTCCCAAATTGGGTTTTCACAAACTCAGCAAGAGAAGTGATACTATCAAGATCACACACATCAAGCTGATGAAAGACAAGGCTTTGATCAGAAACTCCAGTCTCTTTCTCCAGTGTCTCAACAGCTTCAAGTCCTCTTTTCTCATCTCTAGAGGTCAAAACAACACTAATACCATTGCTCACTAATTGTCTGCATATCTCAAATCCAATCCCTCTGTTTGCTCCAGTAACTAAGGCAAATCTACAAAACCAAGAACCAAAATATCACTAAGATTTACATGTGAAATCAAGAACTATAAGAGAAGATTGAGACATACTTTGGTGTTTCCTCTGCCATTTTTCGAACCTATGTTTCTTTTGGGTTTCAGACACAAAAACAAAAACTGAACATTTCCTCGACGTATACGATAAAGTAAATGTATACACCAATCAAACAACGAAATGTGAGAGCCAATGAAGGCCACGTAGCTCAGAAATTGATGTTCTTGACTATTCTAGAAGGAAGATATAAAATGAGTGGCCTAAAACAAAATTCGTAACCTTCCAAATGATCATTAATTTCGGGTATTTTGGGATTTAGCATTCGTCTCAAAAAAAGTGAAATCAAAAACGTCAGTGCCGATGATCGCCGGCGAATCTGAGCTTCTCGTTGGGCAATTATTTCACTGTTATGTAGTTTTGGGTATGATTTTGGTGTTTTTGAAAATATAAGGGGCTTAAGAAGAATTGTTAATAAATAGCTTTTGGGCTTTGCTTTTTAAGTGGGCTTCCAAGGTCATCTCAAAATGAAATAATTTATATGTATTTTCTTTTTACTATAAGTCTATAACTTTAGAATATAAATCGTGGAAAAGAAAAGAATAGACATCACATTTATGCCTCAATCCACTATATAAAAAGAAAATTTTAGTATAGACATCGTGGAATTTTAATCTTTACATATGTTTACCAAAAAAAAAACATGCAATGTTAATATTCTATCAAATATATAAGTTATCGTCAAAAGAAAATTTAACAATCACCAAATCATTTTTTTTTGTCGACAACATACAAATTCGGATGGTGACACAATAACGACATTTGACTATCACAATATGACCGTATCTGATTTTATGGTCAATTTTTTTGTTATTTCTCGTGGTGAAAAATCGGATTAACAAATTAAACATGTTGAATTTTAAATCAGATACTTGTGTTAAATCCACAACTAGTACCTTATTCTAATTAACATTGTTATGAATGCATTTGAAAAATATTCTTCTTTACTTTGATTGTGATATAAAATATCAAATCAGAATCAATTTTCATTATCTAGAATCCTTATCGTTAAAGAATAAATAAAATTAAGACCAAATGGATATATATGGTCAAAAGAGGGACAAGTTGAGTGGAGAATGAGATTCGATTATTTTCCCCCAAATTTCCGAGACTCTATATAAATTTATGAAGCAAAATTGCAATCTATTAACCAAAAGCAACCAG